TATAAATAAAACTACAAACAAAACTACTTACTACAAATTTATCATAAATAAATAATATTCATTCAATTAATTGCCACCGTCCATTGTTTTATTTAAATTACGCTTCTACAAAAATTTTCAAATTAAAAATGTAAAGTTTCTACGCGGATTTGAAATAATTTCTCACCTTTCGGACTTTCTCTGGATTGGCACGAATTTTTCAAGACCAAGACTGGCCAAATCGATTCAGCCGTTTTCGAGTTTTATTCGGACATTTGAAAGAGAGCTCCATTTTTATATATAAGATAGAAAAAACAATTCTATATATATATATATATATATATATATATATATATATACATATATTATAATTATTATGCTCAGGTACATATGTAAAAGCTTAATTAAATAACTACGGCCCGACGCCACGATTTCGCCGAATAACATTTCTGTGTAATTAAAGGTAATTAATTTTATTCTCTCGAATAAATATTAACTGTTGGATATCGTTCGAGTGAGCCCCATTCGCCCCCATTCGCCTCATTTGAGCCCCATTCGCTCGCCCCATTTGTTCCCCAATTGTATGGATGTATGTAATTGTTTCGTGCCGAATTGTTTGTTAATTATGAATCCATATGTGTATAATATTTACATTGGAAATGTATTATTGTTTTGTTTGTGTACCCCGACGGGTGTTCGATAATTAACTATAGTAATTAAAGATTTTTAATTGTGGAAAGTAATGGATTGAAATGTATAAAAAATAAAATGGCAAAAAAGAAAATGAAAATTTTAATATTTATTCACAACACTATCTATTGTACCCCAGAGTTAAGTTTACATTACGCCAATTATTTATTATTATTTTACAGTAGTCGTTTTGCAATATTATCGACTTTCGCAATTAATCATAAAATAATGTTTTTCTTTACGAAATCGCAAACGATTGCCTTGCAGAATGACATAAAATTATTATTTATGCAAATTATATATAAACATGGCCATAAATCAGTGGTGGTTTGTAACGAAAAGTGGCCCTTGGGTCTAAATTATTTTAATAACTACGAAATTATGTTGTCAAGGGTAATAGATTTATTTATATACATATAGATATAATATATATATATATATATATATATATATATATATATATATATATATATATATTATTAGAGATGGGCTTATCATATCCGAAGCCGGATCGACTCGGATTTGACTCGCTGCAGGAAGGAGTTATATCCGCTTAACAACTCCACGACTCCGACAACTTTGAAACTGAAATACTCGACACGAATGTGTTCTATAGTGCGTTGTTTATGCATCTAAGGATTTGTCAAATCCCATTTAATTTTTTAAATGAAAATTTATGAATAAATAAAATTTAAAAATATCAATAAAATAATTTTTCTAAAAAATTCACAAATAAATGACGAGTTGTAAAACTTTTCGGTCGACTATATGATCGACTCAACGACTCGTAATTTTAACAGTGTTGCCCAAAGTAAAAACGCAAACTTGAGAATCAAATTCAATTTAATTATTTTCTTTTGATGAAAATAATTATTTTTTGGATTAGTTTTATATAAAATTAATGTAGTAAACTTTGTAATAAAACAAAACATTTATCATAAAATATCTTCACCAAATAATAATACTTCTGCATTCTAATTTTTTCTTTTGCTATTTCCATTCGAAAATTAATATTATATCGGGTAGTTCGTTTAGTATATTATTACTTTTACACAATTATATCATTGTGTAAAAGTAATAATATAATACTAAATATATTATGCTGCTTAAATATATTTGACGTCACTGATATATATCACACTTTCTAAAGTATTGTTATTTCAGGCTATGGAAAACCAGATTGGATGTATTTCGTTTCATGTATTTTTCGGTATTTATATTTCTGACTGCCGTTATTCACGGCCAAGGATTGTCGTCTGTTGTCGATTCAATAAATTATACATTGGAGCTATTCACACATGAACACAATTTCATTGTTCTGTATCTTTGAAGTAATATTTTGTATTTTTTGTAAAAAAACCGTATACCTAAAAGGTCATAAAACTGCCTATGAGACGAGAAAGCGACAGCTTCCTTCCTAAAGCAAAACGCGGTAACAGATTTAGTACCAATTTAGGGAAGTCGGATATGACAAATCCGGCGAGACAACTCCACTCGGATTCACTCCGAGGTAGGAGTTGTATCTGAGTGATAACTCCAGAGTGAGTTACCCATCTCTAATATATATATATATATATGTAGTTTTTTATTTATTTTTTTAAATAAGAGTATTTTCCATAGGCATTAGTTATTAAGAATTAACTATGTTGTATAAAAAAGACATTCTTACGTTACGTATTCCAATTTAACCCTTCTTCAGTGGTAAAGCACAAATTATTAAAAACAAGAACAAAAGAATTTGATTAACAGCCATATTTGTGAAAAATGTATTAATTTTTATTTCAGAAAAAATAACTGAAGAATACATAATAAAGACCTAAAAACGAATTTAAAAAGATGTCCCAAAAAAAAATAAATAAAAAAATATTTATATTTAGATTTAGATCTAAAATCCAAGATATTAAAATACAGTAAAAAGACCTTAAAAATTAAATATATTTAATTATTATATTATATTATTATAATATTATTAAATAGTAACATGATTTAAAAATAAATATACAGATCTATAATTGATCCAAATAAAATATGAAAAGTATAAAATTTATATTTATATGAAGTAATGATCTAAGATATCAAAAAAATATAAATATTTTAAAATCGAATTTAGAAATGTGTAAGAATATAAAATAAAGGTCTGAACTTTATCTATGGAACTATCAGACAGATCTAAATAAAAACCAAAAAGCTTAAAAAAATGAAATAAATGAAATAAAAAGCAACTAAAGTAATGAAAATGACTTAAATAATTTCAAACAAATTTAAAAAGTCTATCAAATCAAAATAAATATAAAAACATCTAAGATTTAACTATATGTCCTAAAATATTTAAAAAAAAAAGGCTTAAGAGAGTGAAACTGAAAAGTTGGACGATCTATTTCTAGATAAAATAGGAAAACCTTAAAAACAATTCATCCAAATTTAAACAAAGGCTTAAATTATGTTAAATAAAAAATTAATAAAATATAAAAAGGTCTAAAGGCAGAATAATACATATTAAAAAATATCAAACCAAATTTTAAAAAGATGCAAGGAATCTAAAAATTGAACGATTTTAAAACTTTCAACTAAAAAAAATATTCAAAGCTCTCTAAAAAAATTTAAAATAAGTAAAGAAATTAAAACAAAATTTGAAAGAAACTTAATCTGTATAAAAAATTAAAAAAGATATAAAAACATCTAACCATCATCTAATTATGTCCTAGAATATATTATATTAAAAAAATTGAAAGGTTTAAGAGAGAGCGAAATTAAGAAGTTGAACGATATTTTCCAAATAAAATAGAAAAACCTTAAAAACAATTCATACAGGTCTAAATAAAGGCCTGAAATATCTGAAAAAAATAATGAAAGTATAAAAAGTTGTAAAAAATAATACAAATCGGAAAACATCTAATCAAATTTAAAAAGATGCAAGGAATTTAAAAAAACGTATTTTGCAGTATAAGAAGGCCTCAAATGGCATTTAAAAAGCTCCTTAAAAAAAATTAACTAGTGGTGCATGGCATCGTGTCTTAAGGCAAATTGCTGGTACTTTCCAAACCATTTTTTTTTAAAAAAGATTATTTCTTTTTTTAAACTTTGAAAAAAATAGGATTTTTGAGAAATTTTAAATTTTTGATAAAAAAATAATTTTTGGAAAAAAAAACTTGGAAAGAAATTTTTTTTTTCATTTTGAAATATTTTGGAAATTCTGAACTTTTTGCCCTGTATCTTCAAAACGGCTAGACCTGCCTTTGCCAAAAACTAATCAGCACGTCTCCTTATCAATACGAGTCGCATATTTTTTGAATCATTCAAATCGGTTGATCGTGTTCCCGAAATCGTTGACAAAAATTTGTATCCGCATACACACACACGCCAAAATGTTCAGAAACCATTAAAACGTAAATCTTAATAAAAATTTTCATTTTCCAATTTTTTGCAATTTTACCATTTTTTTAAAGAAAAATGGTTAAATTGCATTAAAATACATATAAATACATTAAAACAAAATATTAAAATTCATTAAAACAATACATTAAAAAAAATTAAAATAAAATCAAGTTTCATAAAACTTTTGGTTATAATTGTGTAACAAAGTTATAAATAAATAGACAAAACAAATAAATAAGAAAATTTTATATACGAACAATTATAATTTATACGTAAATATTTTACCTTTGAATTATTAAATTAATTATTAAATGCTTCACTATAAATTTTTACTTTTTCTGTAAGTTTCATGTCGCTTAAGGCAAAAATTACCCAAAGAAAAAATTGTAATAAATAAGATAATTGTATATACGAACGATTATAATTTATACGTAGATATTTTACGTTTACTTTAATAAATTATAAAATGATTTATATAAAGTCACTTTTTTGTAAGTTTCATATCGCTTAAGGCTAAAAATAGCCGAATAAAAAATTTGAAATAAATAAGGAAAATGTATATATGACGATTATACCTAAAAATTTAACTTTTATTTTATTAAATTGATTATTAAAATGCTTCACTATAAATTCACTTTTTCTGTAAAAAAATTGAAATAAGAAAAATGTATATACGAACGATTATAATTTGTACGCATATATTTCACCTTTTAATTTACCAAATTTACCAATAAAATGCTTCACTATAAATATATATTTTTTGTAATTTTAATGTCCTTTAAGGCAAATAATACCTGAAAAAAATGTATTTGAAAATTCATTACACAAAAGAAATGTAAATAAAAATTCCTATTTCAAGCAAAACGCTTTTAATTTCATTATAAAAATAATACAAATCAGTACAAACTAGTTTAAAAAAAATACAATATAACAAAAACATTAAAAATAATTTAAAACTACGCCTCAATCGACGATGCTTCCGAAACAATCTGCACAATAACCTTCCTCTTAGCATCATAAGTAAAACCATTCGTTTTAAAAATATGACTTTCATAAAACGGTTTCAGATTATGAATATCGATTTGTTTAGCATTTTCCAACAAATCGCTTTCCATTATTTCAACCGTTGCAGCCTGGGGACCTTTGAGACACCTGAGGTAGGCCAATTGTTCCAACGTGAGTTGTCTCAGGATGAAGAATAGTAGGACCGAGTGGTCTTTGTGGAAGGCCAGGTACTTCTGGAAGGTGTGTCTCATTTTTTTCATAACGCTGTACTTTTGGGCCTCGATGAAACTCTCGAGCATTATCCTGATGGCCATGTTGACATCAGCATCGGAGACTGATTCTCGTAAGTGCATCCTGGCATGGGCTTCAGACATTCTGATGACACTCTCGATGTGTCTGACTGTTATGGGTAAGGATCCTGTTGCTAAGGATTCTTGACGTAGTTGGCTGTACATTTTAGCTATTTTGTCCTGGTTCATGTTTTGGAGTTTGGGACGTATGTTTTCTTTGCTGTATACAATGTATTTGCGTAACAACTCTTGAGACAGTGCAAAATCGTTATCGCTTTCTACTTCCTTAACTTGTTCCTTCGAGGGATGGTGCTTGATATGAGACCCGACAACAAATTTAGCCAATAATTGGTCTTGCATAGGATCAAACTCATCTTTAACCACGCAAAGGATGTCAAAACGTGACAAAATCGGTTCAGACAAGTTCACGTTTTCAGAAAACGTTAAACTAGGATCATAACGTCCTCCGATAGGATTTGCAGCAGCTATAACAGCACACCTGGCTTGCAACGATGTAACAATACCAGCCTTGGATATACTGATCGACTGTTGTTCCATCGCTTCGTGTATAGACGTCCTATCCTGATCATTCATTTTATCAAACTCGTCAATCAAACAAATACCTTGATCAGCCAACACCAAAGCACCAGCTTCCAAAGTCCACTCTCTAGTCATCTGGTTTCTTCTAACGTAAGCTGTTAAACCGACAGCACTTGCACCTTGACCCGTTGTGAAGACTGCACGTGGTGCAACTTTTTCCACGTACTTCAAAAACTGGGATTTGGCTGTACCTGGGTCACCGCATATTAAAACATTGATGTCTCCACGTAGTTTGTGCTTCTCACCAGGATTTTTGGCTTCACCACCAAACAAGGATAAAGCTATACTGCGTTTGATGTAATCGTGCCCATAAATTGATGGTGCTATACTAGAGACTATGCGTTCACTTATTTTAGGGTCTTTGCTTAATTTTTGGATGACTGAGATGTCTTCGTCGGTTAAAGCATGCACGACTTGCTTGCTGTCTTTAACTATAATATGATTTGCTAACAATACAGTAGCAAATACTGGAAAACCTTGTTCGGTATTCAAAGACCCATCATAATTATTCGTATATATACCAGTAACATCTACCTCATCCCCCGGTTTACAAGCATCACACAAATCCGCTAACAAAATACAATCTTTACTCCGGGGAATCCTACCGGCAGGAATACGTCCAGGACTTTCCTGCAACGTAACTTTCTGATAATTCCTATAAACAGTTTGCTCCATATTCACTGAAAACGGTCCAGTGCTCTGACACTCCGGACAACTACCCGGTTTGACTTCAGAGTTCTGCGATTGCACAAACGGTCCCAACACATACCCACATTTTATACAATCGTACTTAATAACCGACAACTGGGGCATAACGCCTGTGGTTGCTGTAACTACACCTAAAGTACGTACCAACTGGTTCAAATGGAGCTTTCCGGAAGGTCCTGAGTTCTTCAATCAACGGCAACTCAGATATACGAACATGGATTTCATTAGTGACACGTTCGTAACTTGGGAAAATAGACAAAACAAGATCTTTAGCGACTTCGTCGAAGATTTGAAGCATTTGGAAGGGGGCTTCGGGTAAAAAGTAAGCTAAAACGTGCTCCTTGCTTGCAAGGATAGGAAACTCGACGCTAAAACTAGACTTATTGGATTCACACATACGTCTGATACGTTCTTTGTATATATACTGCCCTTTAGCATTAACATACGTCCTCAAAAACCCTTTGAAACGATTAGCAATCTCCGTACGTGGTCCCAGCATACTAACCCACTCCTTCGTCGAATGTCCTTTAGTATCCTCCAAATTCTCAATACTCTCGATCATATCCTGATCCTCCAATTCAATATCTTTTTCAAAATCAGTACTCCGTTGAGTCTTCGATCGCTTACTATACCCCGCATCACCATCTTCATCCTCGCTCATATCCCCAAAAACCAAATCCCTTTCATCTCGATGCACCCCCATAGCTCTGTCTCTTCTACGCATAGCCTGCTCAGCAGCAGCCCTATCAGCTTGTGTGATGTTATCATAATCATCATCATCGAGGACATCAGAGTCATATCTATCCAGAGCAGGCATTGGACGATAATCATCTTCCATATTGTCCCCGAACAACTCTTCACCATCTTCCTCTTCTTCTTCGTGGTAGGAAACATTTCCGAGTAGTTCGGTTTCATCTTCAAAAGGCTCTTCGGGGTCTCTTGCAGGGGACGTGAGAGCACCTGTGGAGCTCTCATCGTTTGGGGAATTTATTGGCCAATTTGAATCAGACATTATAAGGCGTAAGCAATCAACAGAATATAATGCGTATGATTAAAATTCGATATTAACAGTAACAAATGTAGTATAAAAATGTTTATAACGCTTACATAAAGTTCCTGAGTGAATGTCACAACACAAACAACAAATATCACATTCAGAGTTAATACTTCAGTTCATCAACTATATGGCACAAGTATGAAACTATTTACATTTATAACATCAACTGTGTATTTATTAAAATCATTTATTTCTATTTTATTTTTAAAATATTTATTTCTTTTTGACAAGGTTATATGTCACAAACTTAACAAAACGTTTCGCGCGCTTTTACTGTTCGCGCTAGTGTTACCTTGAAGTTAGTGTTGCCGTAGTAGAAATATGTTAAAAGTCAGTTCTGTCATGAGAAACGACGCCAGCGCTGCTAGTGAGTGTGTTTGTAAGTGTAACGGCTTAATGTTTGAAAAAAATTTAACTTTGAATATTTTATTAATATATACTATTATATAGTACATATATTATATGTGATAAATTAGTACTATTCAGTATTCAATATAATATATACGATAATTCAGTTGATTTTTCTTTAGTTCCTGATTTTTTGAGAATAATCAAATTCAAATGGTATTTTGCCTTAAGGCAAGTTGTATAAACTAGATAGTGTAATTAGTTGTTAATTGTGTAAATCAATGAGATTCAGCATCTTTTGTCTATCAGCAATTGTAACAATCAAATATTCAACTGTAAATTAAACTAGTAGTGCATGGCATCGCGCTTTAGGGCAAATAGCTGGAACTGGTATAATTACTATATGTATATTTATTCGTTCAAATAATATACAATGATGCTCTTATCACTCAAAATACTTGAAAATGCTTACATTAACAACAGATGCCGAATCCATCTGAGGATACATTTCTTACAAGTAATAATATAACGCATATGAAATATATACATTATACAGTTTTAAACTGAATTGTAAATTTTAAATTTATATTTGAAGTAAAAAGTAAAGTAAAACTTTGTATATTTTTGAAAATTTTTAAAATTTTTTCTGAAGATTTTGAAATTTGTTTGAACCGTATAAGTAAACCTTAAAAATTAAAAATCTCGGTACGGAACCCAAAAAAATTGTAACAAAATTTGTTCTTATTATTAAAATATCTGATAATTTGATGTGCATATGTCTAATGATCATTATTTGATCAGTTCTTCATCTTGTTAATCGGACGCTACGTTCTCTTAAAAACTGAGTTAACGTTTTTGGCACTTTTTGCCCCGTATCTTCCAAACGGCTGGACCTGCCTTTGCCAAAAACTAATCAGCATATCTCCTTATCAATAGGAATCGACATACACACATACATACACACACACACGTAAATCAATTTTTCATAAGGTATGCCAAAATGTTCAGAAACGTAAAGATATATATAAATTTTATTTTTTTAATTTTTTACGATTACTATAACTTACCCTACAGTAAGTTCATAATTCAACTTTATCCACTCATTGTTTTCCTTTGATAACATTTTAATATAGATATAAAATTAATTGGATAGTAAAAAAAAATATCTCTAAAGAAACCACTTAGAAGGTGGTAATATTAAACTTATTAATAATTTATTTCTTAAGTTTTGAATTACCTCAAAACTACTTCCTTCTGTACTCAAATCTTGCTCCATTTTTCTATTTTCTTAATATTAAGAAAATTACTTATATTGATTCATAAAAAATCCGGATCTCTTATCAAACTATCAATGGTAATTTCCAATATGCTTCATCCAATTGTTTCAATCCTTAGTCCCTGTATATTCTATTATTCTGTTGATAATATCTCAATCTGGATACAAAACCTATCCATTGACAAGGACAAAAGTCCTAGGCGTCTATATTAATTGTTATCGTCCTTATCAGCATTTATGGAGATGGTGCCCTGTAACCTCACCATGTCACCAGGATAGGAGATTTATTGAAATATTTGAGATAAGAGAGTACAGAAAATTCAGGGTAAAGGGCTTATGGTATACAAGTATATATATATATACGAGGTCTGTTCAAAAAGTACCCGGAATTTTCGTTTTTTCAAAAAAATATTTATTTATTCGTCTACATTAATGTGGTCCCCTTCAAAGTAGTCCCCCCCAGATATAATACACTTATGCCAGCGTTTTTTCCAATTTTCGAAGCACCCTTGATATTCACTTTTTGATATGTCCTTGAGCACTCTCAGCGATTCGGCCTTTATTTCTTCAATCGAGGAAAACCGCCGTCCTTTCATGGGTCTCTTCAACTTTGGGAATAGGAAAAAATCACACGGAGCCATATCTGGTGAATTTTTGCACTTTGCAACACTTTATTTCATTTTTTACGCAAAATTTAATACAAATTCTTTGACTTTTCAATTCTTCCATTGTAAAAATCGCCGAGCTCAGAAAAACACGTCGAACCTTAGCGACTACCACAGACAAAGTAAACAGTGAATATAGCTGAGAATTTCATCATACTTTAGGGGCATGTATACCAACACAATAAAAAAAAAATTTTGACAATCAGACACTCCAGACCCGCGAAATTTAATTATTAGTAATTCCGGGTACTTTTTGAACACACCTCGTATATATCATTTACTACTATCATTTATCTCGGAGCACCCGAGATGTTTCCCTGCCGGTGTCGTTTTGTAATTTGATTATCCCCAATAGGATCAATGGGAATAAAATTGTCCTTAAAAGATTCGCCGGTCGGTAGTAGTGTTTGCAAAATAACCAGATTGGCCTTTGGCTGTTTGAGAATTATGCAAATTTCTCATAGTGGAAACTCGCCGCCGTTGCCGCCGCCGCCGATATCACATACATTTGCATATTAGATTGATTTATAAACACCACCATATACAAGACGTTAGATAATCTAGATTGAATTATCTGTTTTCATAAAGGATACATAGGTGTAAATATACGTATATATGTGGAATTGATTCCTTTAAGAACACACACAATTAATCGAAAGGAACTAGTTGTGTATGGCATCGTGCCTTAAGGCAAATTCAAATTTGAGGAATATTGAATGTTTTCAAATAGATTAATATAAATAATGTAACTTTCATTATTCTTATTTATAAAAAGTAAATAAATAAAACTTGATGAAACGGATTTAAAATGAAGAACATTGTTTAATATTTATAAGAATTATATAAACTGAATTGCAAAGCTAAAATTATTCATTTGAAGGAAATAAGTGATGTTTAAAGCATTAGCTAAAATTAGAATTGAAAACCGAATACATTTTCGATATCCAGAAAAATTTTTTTTCAAACCCCCATTATCACGTATCCAATGTTTTTTGAATCATTCAAATTGGTTGATCAGTTTTCTTGAAAACTGCCTTTTTTTGCTATTTTTGCTCCGTATCTCCAAAGTCGCTAGACCTGCTTTTGCCAAAAACTTAATAGCACATCTCCCAATTAATAGGAATCGATTGCTTTTTCAATTTTTCAATTCGGTTCATCCATGCGCCCGAAATCGTCGACGAAAAATTGTCTCCACACATGTACACACAAATATCCATTTTTTCTGAGGTACGTCAAAATGTTCAGAAACCTCTGAAACGTGAATAAATGCAAAATTTTTCATTTTTGATTTTTGGACGATTACTTTAACTTACCCTACGAGAAGTTAAAAACAATAAAAAAATTGTATGGCTCTTATTACAAAGTTTCGGAACTAGATATGTTCCATCATCAGATTTTTCTTAGCATAAACAAAATTTTCTGTAACTTTTTCTGATATATTTTTTTAAATGATATAATGGATGAAGTATTTTTTGTAAACCATTTTTTATTAAAATAAATTTAGAAAACATTTGGAATTAAGAAGCAAAAATTATTTACTTGCAATTTTATCAAATTGATAAATTATGGTAATTATAAAATTTTCTTTACCACATAACGTTAATATTTCCATTAGAAAATATCTGATTATTTTTAATTTGTCAAAAACATTTAAAAAAAACTACCGATGAACCTGATAAAAAGTAAAAATGAAGAACCATATAATTAAAAAAAACTAGGTGAAAGTGGAATTTTGCATCTAGGCAAGTTGCACAAACTTCCTGATATGTATAAACAAACGACTTGATAATTAAATCATCATATTAATTTGTGATTTATAAGTAAATCGAGTTAATGTCAAAAACTAAACTGATTATTAAAACAGTAGTGATATTGATTTTGGTTTTTGAAAATATTGACCATAAAAATATTTTCAAGTAAAACCGGCTTTTCAAGACACTGTAGAAAAAATTGGAATTGAAATATCATCACAATTAGAAAAGGACAACCATTGTGTTCATTTGTAAAAAAATTATTATATATCAAAATTGAAATAGGACAACCATTGGGTTGCATTCTGAAAACCATTAATAAAACTTTTGGCAGCTAAACTATTATAAAACATTACTTAATATAAATCTACCAATGCACAATAACCCAACAGTTATATCTAACAAATTCGATCCATTACAATGTAGCAATAGTTTTAATAATTTCTTTTATAGATATTGCTATTTTTGAACAAATTCTGATTCTCAGTTCTGCAATTTAAATGATTTCCTAGACTTTGAGCAATTGTGCATTTTTTTATTAGCAGAATTCAATTAGATTAGTTTAATCAAAGGCGGAAAAGATTTTAATTAAAATTATTGCGAGGGAATAAACTGAGAGCTGGATAACTGAAAATAGACAGAATTGGATCAAGAATAAACAGTTGAGTATTTTGTTTCTATTATTCTTGTTTTAAGACAAATGCCACTTACAACTAGTTTAATAATTGGATGGGTGCTTAAATTCTTTTTATCATTTCAGACCACAATAAAACCCTTACAAGCTCCGAAAGCAATTTTGATACGCCGCGGGGCCCCCACATAGCCTTTTTTCTAACTGCCGAATCAAAAACTATAAAGAGGCATCTCGTCAAAATTGAAATAGAAAAAATATAAAGAAAAAAAGTCATAATAATAATAAAATCGGTGATAAATGTTTTGTTATGACTCCATCCCATTGTGTGAACTGTGGGAGACATATGGGAGATCGGAATTTCTTTTATTGCCCTTGTTGTTGGATAGGTCGGGGATGACTTTGATATATAAATATATATGTAAATTATTATTGAGAAGGGCGAGTCGATTAAATAAAATGTTATTTATATA